TGTCTGGCCACTAAAAGAGCAGACACTCCTAAAAGTAGATTTGAGTAACAAAAGAACATTTTTTTAAAAGTAAGTTAAAATGAATATCAAATAAAATTGTAATAATAATCTTCTTTTTGAAAGGAATCCCCATATATGTCCAACCAGCAGCAGACCGAAGGCAATGTTACGGCACGTTTCAAACCTTCATATATACAAATAAGCAACACAAATGTACACATTATTTTATAGTACGTATGTTGTTGCCTGTCTTTTTAAGGTCTCGATAATGAAAAAAAAAAATGTATTAAAATTGGCATGAATTACGAGGTGAAGCACCTTTTTTTAAGTACCCCAAAACAGCGCGTCCTCAGTGATCTAATTTACACCATTTACTATGTAAAATCTCATTATCATAATTGCCTTTTTCACCCTGTACCAGGGTACAGGCCATGGACGAACACTTTCTGCCATTTGCTCCCTTGCATCCAATTTTGATCCTCTTGCATTTACTTGCATTCGCTTCTGCCTCCAGTTGTCTTCTTATCCTAATTAAATCCAATGAGTGTTGGCTAATCCATTCCTTGTGCTCCCAGTTCTTCGCACCAAGTACTTCTTGACATGTTAATGTAAAGACTTCTTTGACCTTGGTCCAGTGTGTCTCCACCTCCGTGTCCTCTCCACCAAGATCAGCCAGAGGTTGAAATCTGTTCCTCAACTGCAGCTGAAATTCATTCCTCTTTCTGGTGTCCATCCAAGAGACTTACTTGGAATTTCGTTCTTTTGGTTCCTGTGCTGGCTCCATGTTTTTTTAATTTGGGGGCTTGAGTTTTGCCAACAGCAGATGATGATCCGATCAAACGGCAGCCCCTCTCTGTACTATGACATCTTCCAGTGAACACCTGAACCTACAAGAGACACAAAAACGATCTATCTGGTTCTCCGTCACTGCATCTGGCAATACCAAGGTAGCCTTGTGAATTCTCTTGTGAGGACAAACAGAGCCTCAAAAGACAGAATTGTTGAAAGCACAGATATTTGCAAATCGTTCACTGTTCTCATTCATTCGTCCTAAGCCATGTTGTCCCATATTTCCCTCACAGCTTACACTGTCCTCACCAATCTTGAAATTGGTATCTCCCATTATGATGTTAACATCCTTCCTTGGAAGTTTGTCGATGACCCCCTGGAGCTGGCTGTAAAGGGCAACTTGTCTTCATCCGAAACATCATTTGTTGGGGCGTAGATCTGGACTATATTCATGTTGATGCTTTTTCTCCTTGTAGTGAATGAAGCCATGATGATCCTCTCCCCGTGTGGTTCCCACCCTCTAAGCGACTTCTGTGTATACTTGCTCAAAATGATTCCCACTCCTTCCGCATGGCATTTGTCTTTCCTCCCAGAATACAATATATGTTCCCCTGCACTGAGCTGCTTCTGTCCAGACTGTATCCAGTGCGTTTCACTGACTCCTAGTAAGTGCAGTCTGTATCTCTTCATCCAGAGCTTCCAGCAGCTGACGTAATTTTTCGAGGATTTTCGGGTCCAGGGCGAGGGTTGAAGGGGGATGGCGTTTGATATTTTTTATTTCAGGGCATCCTAAGTATGCCATTTCTGGCTATTCAAGCCTAAATTTAACAAGAAAATAAGTGAGAAAAAAACATACCTTGCATACATAACTTTCTGCTTGTGTTAATCCATATAAATCCAAAGCCATGCTTTCTCCATTGTACCAATACTGTACATCCACAAGAGTAGTATAACAGCTAGATCTATAAAATTTGACAGTTAATGTTCAATTTTTTTTTTTGCATGTGTTGGTTTGCACCAGAATGTGTAGAATTCTATAATAGTACAACAGCTGGAATCTAGATTCTAAATCTAAACAACTTGACAGCTTATATTCAACTTAAATCCACAACAATATATACAAATAAACAGTCTGATGAAAAAATCAAGCTTTCTTCAGAGTTTTTTGTTCTTGGCAGGCCTACGATCTATTGAACCACAATCGTCATGTCTTCCTCTTATTTACAGTGCTGGTGCTCTGCTTTGTGCTTTAGAAAGTGAAAGTAAAAGACAAAGTCTACACTTTCAAATAACAGAGCACTTCCGGTGTGGGTTAGCTATTGTTGACTTATATATAGTAATTACGGAAATTTTTTATTTCGCATTTTTGAAAATAATAAAAAAAATTTGGGGGGGGGGGGGGCACCAATTTTCACGGAAATTTTTACATTTGCGGAATTCTACTAATTTGCGGAAATCCGCAAAATTGTGGAAGAACGGAAGCACTGTTCATCTCTTTGATACCCAAGAACTCTTTCCTGCTTCATACATGGTGCGAACATTCCACAACGCAATCCGGAGAAACTTGTTCAACAGAGAGGGTTTCGGGTCAGGAGAGTCCTTCTCCAAGATTGAAAAATAAAAAGCCATCTTTGTCCGTGTTTCCGTAACTGACTGTTTTTACTGGGTCCGGTAGGTGGCCCTCCCCAAACGTCGCCTCTTACAACATGCAGTATCACGGCAGGTGTATTCTTTGCTCCCCCATAGTAAAACTATTGGCCCCCCACCTGCAGGAACGGCAAAACCTCATGATTTGCCAATAGAAATCTCCATACTGTCTGTTGTTATTGTTATCAAAAAATTAAAAAACAACTACCATTGATTAAAAGCTATATGGACCCCACTCAACATTACTTTCAAAGATTTTTTATCAAAAGATTCCACGTTGACATCAAACTTGATCAAACTTCACCCTGCATAAAACAGCATAGATAGAAATTGCAGTTAAATACCAACATCATGAAAAAAACAACAACAAGTAGAATCTAGGAACATTTAATACTATAAAAGAAGCTGCTCCAAGCATCCAGTATAGTAAAATTAACAAATTCTCAGCCTAATATATAACTTAAAAAGTGACTAAAACCTTATTTTCCTAAACAAAAACTTGGACCATTTTCCTTCAAAATGATACTAAAACCATCCATACTTCTAAAGAGGGAGAAAAGTAAATAAATGGGCAATCTTGGGTTTCGGCCCAAAGAGTACTGGAATATCGATAGTAACTTTGTAAGTTAAGACTACAGGCAGGGGTAGAGGTAGTAAGTAAATGTATTTTTAATTTTAGACTCGCACGCAGAAATGCACTGTTTAGGGAGCTGCACTACTGTGTTTTTAGCTGCAGAACACACATCTATTGATAGCCCTTATACCCTCGAAAATAAACACTGTTTTCCAGAAAATATCAAACCAAATTGCAAAACATCAAATTTTGATACCGAAACCCTGGACTTTTTTAGGCCAGGGAGGCATCCCCCTGAAACAACCCCAACCCCCCCCCATTGTTAAAAACAAGTCAAATAGTAAGCGCAACAACAATATAACAAATAACAATTGGTCCTGTCGTAATACAGAATCTAGTTCGTGTAAAAATATGAAGTGAACATTTCTCCGAACGCTCGGGAAAATAAAGTAGAACTCTATTTCTACGAACGGTTTCTGATCTCGAGATTTTTTTGGTTATTTGCTATATTTAGGCGTCATCCATCCCCCCCCCCCCATTGTTAAAAACAAACAAGTCAAATAGTAAGCGCAACAACAATATAACAAATAACAATTGGTCCTGTCGTAATACAGAATCTAGTTCGTGTAAAAATATGAAGTGAACATTTCTCCGAACGCTCGGGAAAATAAAGTAGAACTCTATTTCTACGAACGAACGGTTTCTGATCTCAAGATTTTTTTGGTTATTTGCTATATTTAGGCGTCATCCATTCTGCGAGGAAGCATGTTTTGCATCCAATTCAATTTTTAGAGCTAGAGATTTAAATGTCTGAATATTCAGATACTTCAGTAGTGGGGTTGGGGCAACGTTCCAGGACTATATTTCATTTGAAAATACCTTCAAAAGGTACTGCGAGAAAACAAGACTGCTCGACCTTGGCAGTTACCTACTTTGCATTTAGTCACCCCAGCAAAAACTAAAATCCTTCAAGTAAAAAAAAATCCCCCCCCCTCCCCCTTTCATACCTTACACACACAATGACACACACACACATGCACACTCACACACACACAAACACACACAGACACGGGCCACTCCATTCGCTTAATATTATCAACAAATATCGAGAACAGAAACCATTCGAAGAAATAAAGTTCAAGTTTATTTTCCCGAAAGTTCGCAGAAATATCAATGCACTTTATAAACTTTTATTTGCAGTGGATATAAAGTCAAAATTCGTATAAATCTATAAATCAAATAAAATGAACAGGGAAAGTGCTTTTGAAAATAATCTCAGAACATGAGACAAGTTTTATAAGAAATATAAGTAAAAATTAAGGTTTGACCACTAGGCAACCCATCCAAGACAGCCCACAAAAAAAGGAGACAACTGTAAATGACTTGCACAGTTATGAATGTGACAATCCAGTTCAGTTGGAACTACTATGGAATCATCCCTATTGACTGATCAATAGAGCTTCCAAAAAAGCTCAAAAGAAGGAAACGCCAGGAAAGACATTCAAAATTTCAGTAGCCTGCTACTGCTGTTCTGTAGGTAGGTGACTATATTTTTTAAGTCTGGGCGTACAAAACCTAATATATATGTCATATGTGCAGACAGTGTCACCCTCACCAGTACTAGATTCTAGATCTAGATCTACAAGATCTAGGTAATAGTACATAGAAGTGCCCTCTGGAGATCTAGAATCTAGCAGTAGATTCTAGTGTGTAGTGTAGTGCGTGTGCCATTGATTTGTTGAGAAAATCAACAATAAAAAGAATCCATATTTTATACATCTTTCAGGGAAAATAGAAATAAAGAATTGGATAAGACTCAATTAAGGAAAGGACACACTATGTTTTAATTCAAAAAGTACAAAACCTACAGGATCGTTCATGTCCAACACTAAACCGGCGATTCTCTCTCCTTGGATACAAAATTTGTCCCGTGGACGAAGGGAGAGAGTGGGGACAGTGGGGTCAGTACTGGTCTTACAAAGTTACTTACAAAATGCCACTGCAGGAGGTGCAGACAAATGATCCTATCGTCATATTGACATAGGTAGGCCCTCTTTGATGACAATCGAAACATTGTTTATTGCTGGGGAGAGATACCATCTCCCGCAACATCTTTAGATGTTTCTCGTCTTGCTTTCTCTTGTTTGACGCCATCTTGAGAATTAAATTCCGGAAATTGTTTCATCCATTTCAAGGTATACTACTCTGAAAAAAATTACTCATCTTGAAACCCTTGTAGTCAGGTGGCGATTCACTCCCTTTGCAGGCGGTTAGTCAAAACAGATGACGTAATGATTTTATTGTACTGTACTCTCTCTCTCTCTCTCTCTCTCTCTCTCTCTCTCTCTCTCTCTCTCTCTCTCTCTCTCTCTCTCTCTCTCTCTCTCTCTCTCCCTCTCTCTCTCTCTCTCTCTCTCTCTCTCTCTC